CTGGAGGAAATTGTTTGGGAACGCATGTTCCGCAAGTTGCATGCTCGAAAGTCGAAAACAGCAATGACATGCAAGAGACATTGTACAGGATCTTGGAGGGCGCATGACCATGTGACTCGCGCATGCGTGCAGGTCAGGCCCAGCTCGCTCGGCTGCCTGCTAACTTGCGTTAGCATGCTAACGCTCATTATGGTTTAGATCGCATTATTGTAATGGTCGCGGTTTTATTTCAAAAGACCATAGAACGTGTCGTACTATCGGTCGAAAGTTTAGGGGTGTGGTACTAATGGGCTGGGAATGTAAGGATCGGGTAGATTACAGTGTTTTAATGGTCGTAGTTGTTGTATAAATAGAATGCTGAGATAATTAGAAGAGGACTATGAGGAAGAGCAAAATGACAGGGGTGATAGTGTTTTAAAGCTCTGAGCAGACGGCGTCGGCAGGAGTGCCTAAACAGAGAGTAGAAGAAGGGAGAAGAGAGGTCCCGCCGCCTCGAGAGTCGCCGTGCTTGCGAAAGGCTATGCCAACAGCAAGAAACGACGGAGCAAATATTCCCGTCGTTTGGAGACTCACCGCCTTCGTGACAAGACGCGTTGACAGCTAGAGACCGCTGCACAGGCATCCATTCAGCAGGAGAAAATACATGCTCTCATGCTCGAACTTGTTCGGTGTGCGGGGCCATCATCATGTTACGCACCAGCCTGGCCCTATTCCGTTGATGTTCCGTACCATTCTGGCAAAGACTGCTGGCCACATGTTGAAACAGGGCTCGAAAAAAATGAAATAAGCTAGTACCAAATCGTAATCTATTATTATTTTTACTTTTACTTGGTAGAATGTACCTGTCTGAGAGTTTGAGTTTTGAGTTATGTATCGATTTGCGTTTATGAACTAAAGTTTTGATTGTCATGCACATGTTTTTGTATTGCAAAGACGTTTCTATCAGTTCGAACAACACACATGATGACCTAGGCAAATATTAAGCATAGCGAGGGCTCCTGGGCGGTCAAGCCCTCTCTAGCCTTCAAGCCCAAGCGCTCTTTATTTGTGCGATATCGAAATGAAAAACTAAATGCAATAACAACGATGAACAATTTATTTCAGCCAAGTACAAGTGGGGTCTATTGGTATCCTTTATTTCAGCCGAATAAAACTGTTGTTTATTGCTATCGCATAATGCATGATAACCTAGGCGAAAAAGATAGTGAGGGCCCTGAGCTTTCAACTGAGCTCTCTCGTTGGAATTATTAATATGGAGGTGTATGTGCCAATTTTTCACGTAGGATTGCCTGCCACTTGCAGCACTGCATTGCCTTCTGCAACATGGGGAAAGCTGCGTGCTCAGGCCCGTAGCAGCTCCATTCTGGTTGGTCCAGCGAGACCTGACTTCCACAACTTTGCGTGCTTTTCTTGTGACGGGCATATACATGGTACAAAGTATGTGTGTGTGTATGTGTGTGTGTGTCTGTGTGTCTGTGTGTGTGTGTGTGTGTGTGTGTGTGTGTGTGTGTGTGTGTGTGTTGGCGTTCCTCTGGAGCAGCTTGGTGACATCGTCCAAGATCGACAGGGATGGCGGGTCACCTGCCGTGACGCTGTCGACGCTATTGTCCAGTCCCGCATGGAGCCTGTGGCGAAGCCCCTCATTTGTGGCACTTGTGCGCACAGTTTTCGTCGGCCACAGGATATTGCGACGCACAAGTGTAACGCTGTTCGCGCGGCCGCGCGCGCTGAGTATGGCGTTCCCCGCCCGGTGGACAACACGTCTCCTGGTCTGCCCCGTATGGGCCACATAGCCAGTCATGGCAGTGGAAGAAGGAAGGAAGGAAGGTGTGTATATGTGTATGTGTATGTGTGTGTGTGTGTGTGTGTGTGTGTGTGTGTGTGTGTGTGTGTGTGTGTGTGTGCGTGCGTGTGCCCCCCCCCCCCACCGAACCAAGTTCATGGTTTCTGGCCCCAACACCTCTAAGGACGATCTAGAGCCGCTCGCGACTCGAACCATGGATATTGCCCATGTGTCGTCTTTTCGTTACCTTGGATCCAACATACACAGCAACGGCCGATGTCATGATGATGTCACATCCCGGATCTCTGTCTTTTCTCCTTCTGTCTGCCTGTCTGTCTGTCTGTCTGTCTGTCTCTGTGTGTTTGTGTGTGTGTGTGTGTGTGTGTGTGTCTCTCTCTCTCTCTCTCTCTCTCTCTCTCTCTCTTCCCCCGCTCTCTCTCTGTGTGTCAATATACAGCTTTCACCGTCCAGGAGCGACACTGACTCGCACTGCTATCTGGTGCTCACGAGGTGTTTGTCGCGCTGCAAATGGAGCATCTCTGTAAGTTTGTATCCCTGGTGATGTTTGGACCTGGAGAGCACTATATAAATGGTGCTTCTCAGGCACAATCTTCCTCAGCCTACTCAAACTCGACTGATGAGGGTAAATTTCCCCGAAACTCTGTGTATTGAGCAGGGAGTGGTCCCTTCTTGCAGGTTTTCCGAGTGGAAGGTTGGATGGACTTTTCGTGTGCTCTGGGTGGCAGCTGTCAGTCAGTCAAGTGTAAAGTCAAGGCGGCGGAATAGCGTGAGCTCCAGTGTCGAGAGCAAACCCTTTCCTAACAATCTTCGCCGAAGTCGCAACCACTATTTCGTAGGTCTACCCTTGTTAGGAGACAACCCTGGGGGTATCAACCTTTTGTTGTCTGATAACGAGTACATTTTTCTGCTGCTTTGCATCATCCATATTGTGTCCACATCAGAACTGATGTTTCCTTGTTATTAGACAGTGTTTTCCACCAGACCCCTGTACAAGACAACCCATTATCAGACAATGTTTCATCGGACCCCGATACAAAACAACATGAAATGCCAATCGAGCTATCCTCGGCCATCCGCTTTTTCTTGTAATGAGAATTCAAACCTGTGGGACAGCTGAAGGGGACGTTATAACGAATTTGGTCTACAAACGAATAATCTCTTATCCGGACTTGCATGTACGACTGCTAATGATTCATGGGATTTTGGATCGTTGTCTACTAATGAGGTTTGTCTTGCAACCGATGTCATACTAACGAGGGTAGGACTGTAAATTAAATGCTTGAAAGTTGAAACTTCGTTTTTCAGATGAATCAGACTGCAAATCAATAGCATAGCAAAGACCATAGCCATCCCAGGAACACTTGAGTAGTGCCCTCTTTTACCTTTTTCTATGTTGTCCTCTTCAGTTTGAGCAGGTATGGATGTTTCCTAGTGCCTTCTAGAATT